ACAAGATAACATATCTGATATAGGAATAGGACAAATATATACATATCTGTTGATAATAATTAATTTTAGATCCCTTGTTTAAGTCATTTGTTTTTTCTACTACACATTGCGCTTGAGTATATCGACTATATCTGCTCGTAAAGATCACTCCTAGACCATCCCTTGCATGATCTATCTATATATATATATATATATATATATATATATATATATATATATATATATATATATATATATATATATATATATATATATATATATATATATATACACACATATAATCAGCCATCTGCTCCTAACTGGCATATGATTACCTGAATGTTATTTTGTACATGTCCTTATGATGACGTTGGCGGGGTTAAGTTGACAGGTGTGTACACTGTATCTATCTTTGCAAGTAGATAGATCTGTAACCTATAAGCTGTGTACACTTCATCAATAGGGGCAAGTAGATACGTGTGTTGTAAGCAACGTACACTTGTACACTATATATAAACTTGTATACTATATATAGGTGGGCAAGTAGATACATGTATTATTTGTGACTTTACACTGTCTCTAGGTTGGCAAGTAGATACGAATATTAGTTTTATCCCTGAACATTGTTTTTATGTGGACAAGTAAATGCCCGTATTAGTTGTAAGCTAGGTAGTTTTTGTTGTTGTGGGGTTTAACGTCATTTTCAGCACAATATAGGCTATACATAGCGGCCAGTATTAATGCTGCAGCAGCGGTAAGTCGACGTTGTCATGGTTAAAAACAACCACAGCTGCTGTTCAAAGCACCGTTAATGCGATATTTACGTGGCAAATAGCATCATAGCAAGATATTTCTGCGCCGTGACATATATACGCTGCTCAAAATGCTCCACCATCAAATGATCAAACACGTTCTGCAATGATATTTGACGGACTCGGTGTTTCAGAAGTTTTATTGAGAATAAATGGACATCAAGTACCATCGGAAGATATTTTGTTAAATTTTGAACAAAATCATGTTGTACGTGCGTATCATCGTCTGATGTGGTTTATGGGCGTGATCAAAATATTGATACTGGTTTACAAATATCACAATTGGAGTTTACAACGCTGTATCGGATTTATTATTTTCTCGCTGAAGCATTTGGATTTGTTTAGATAGTCCGTCGTTGACATACACTTTCAAGCTCGTATGACGCTAGGAGCTATTGCTGAGTACAGAGCAATCGCCGTTATATTATCCGATAAAACAATGCTCCTTAAAAGTGTTGATGTCCGTATAAGAATCATTGATGCTCCCGTAGAGAATATGAAAGCGAAGACATAAGACTGTGATGACATAATCAGATTCAGAAGTCAGAGAATATCATAAATGTCATATCGTCATGCCAATGTCAGTCTGACCACGGGTCAGATTAAACGATTACAATATTGTCATATCGTCATGCCAATGTCAGTCTGACCACTGGTCAGATTAAACGATTACAATCACAGTTAGCATCACGATGAATAACAAAAATATCATTAAAATACGATCAAATGTCAGGCGCAAATAAATATTTGTTGACCGAGCGTCAGTTTAAGAAATTCAACGAAGCTAAACACACCTATAAAGGAATACGATTAAATCTTTCCGTGGGTGCGATCAAAGACACGCTTTTTGCAACTATTCTGGCATTAATATCCATAGCCGCCCCAGTTGTTGCACAAGCTGCTGAGTTAGGTGCAGTTGGGACAGCTGTTAGAATGGCTTTTAAGAAAGCAACAGGAAAAGGATTTTAAAAAAGACAAGGTCACGTTCTGAGACCTCCAGGGTCTCGACCGCCCACCATTTGATCCTGATTAAGAATTCCACAGACTTGTAGACAGTCCCACTGATAACTACGCTTTCGAATTTTGATTTATTCGATACTGCTGCGCGATTGCATATAAAGAATTTCAGAGGTGTTTTTATGCGTGATCAATTAACAAAAAATGTTAAATCTGTCAGAAAAGATATTATTAATCTCCATAAAAGTTCTGGAGCTAGTACTCACTGGGTCGCATACGCTATTGATCCACGTGGAATTGTTTATTTTGTTTGTACGGGTTGGCGTCACCTGTAGAATTTATGAAATATATCGGCAGATTTCAAAATATTCCTGTCTGGTATTCAATGCTACCAACACAAAAAATAACGGATCCACCAATATGTTGCCTTGAAGCACTAGCACCGTAATACTTGATGATGTATCAAGATCAACGAAACCACCTCATAAAGTTGTACATGAATATACATTAAATAATCGTTAATCGTATAATGGTAGGTATTTATGGACGATCAGCTAAAGCCAAACCTCAGCAAGCACCATCCGAAAATTTACTCAAGCGAGTAACACGACAGATCAATGAATTATCTGACATGCTCAATCTTGCCAACGTTGACCCAAACGAACTTGTTATAGTTCAAAACTGTGAAGGAAAATTGAAGGCGAGTAATATTTCCATCAACGATATTATTATTCGGAATCGATTATCGCAGGAAGGTATAATTGCTGTGTATGACAGAGGAGGTAAACTTGTTTCTGGTATCATTACTTCGGTGTGGATCAACGATAACGCAGTTGAACGAGTGTTTAAAACCGGTGATGCCATGCGTTGCACTCTCAGCATGAATAATAATAAAATTACCAATATAAGAGAGCCGACGGATAATCTCGAAACAGCAACGAAAAAATATGTCGATGATAAGGAAATTCTTGTCACAACTTCATAGCTAACATCAATGATGGAATGTCCACGCTCAAAACTGATTTTACTAATCGCGGGCAACTGTTTCTCATCGACGTAAATGCAAAAATCAGCGATATTATCAGTGGAATTCCCAATATCGTTGAAAAAAACAAAACAATCTGATTAATATTCCTCACGGACAAGCTAACAGTATCGGGTATACAGTATTATCCAAATCATTAACGTGGAGGACACTGCAAAATAACTATCAACATACCGCGAATGTCACTGGCATGTATAGGTAGTCCGTGTTCAGCTCTGCAAAATTTATGATTTTTATTACATTTCCATGGCGTCATTCGAGCGATGATTTTTCTGGAACCGTGTTTATATAGTTAAACAAAGACGCCGAAGAAGAATTTATACTGGAACCATGCGATACAAAATTAACCATTGCGTCTTACTGGTGGTGTCTGGAATTTGTAGCTGAAACACCTCCGTTGTCTTAGACAACGTTTCAGCCAACAACTTAATTATAATGATAGACGTTCAGCGATACAGATACGATCAAGTAACGACATGGCAAAATAGAATATAAATCGTCGTCGACGATTATACAGCAAAAAAGAAAAATATCGTAGACACGCAACGGTTGTTGATGCTGTCATTTATTTTTTTCCGCGGTTTTCGCCTCAACCGGCTTAATATTAGGATCGATAGCTCTAATGACGGCGCCGATCGTTTTTACAATCATTGTTTCATCGTCGACGTCGATCGCTGGAATAAATAACATAAACGCAAAGAAGAACAAATACATGATAAAAAAATATACAGCAACGACCGTATTTTCAAGATTTGTTTCATTCATGTCTTTGTCACGTAATGATGAAATGATATCCAAAGAAGAATTCAGTATGGCAATAAAGATATACAATGAATTATTCAACGATAGCAATAATTAACAACAATAATATTATAATAATGACATCGACAATGACTGATCTTTATTGTCAAGACGAATATCTAAACGATTTCCTGGCTCACAAAAATTGTGTTCTGTCAATTGCTTTTCCCCGGGTTACTTTGCCCACGAAAGTCCTGGCAATTTTCCCAACGAAGCAGTAATATCACCTCCTCTCTTTATACTTCAAATAAATTTATATTTTTGTGACATGCCTGTCACACTTACCTGTCAGTGCACGCTTTTATTTTTTGTTGTTTTTGTTGTTAATCCAGCATTTGGCATGGCTGCCCTGCATAGAACACAATATAAATTCATCATGCCTGTCACACTTACCTGTCAGTGCACGCTTTTTATTTGTTGTTGTTTTTGTTGTTAATCCAGCATTTGGCATGGCTGCCCTGCATATAATACAATATAAATTCATCATTCCTGTCACACTTACCTGTCAGTGCACGCTTTTTATTTTTTGTTGTTTTTGTTGTTAATCCAGCATTTGGCATGGCTGCCCTGCATAGAACACAATATAAATTCATCATGCCTGTCACACTTACCTGTCAGTGCACGCTTTTTATTTTTTGTTGTTTTTGTTGTTAATCCAGCATTTGGCATGGCTGCCCTGCATAGAACACAATATAAATTCATCATGCCTGTCACACTTACCTGTCAGTGCACGCTTTTTATTTTTTGTTGTTTTTGTTGTTAATCCAGCATTTGGCATGGCTGCCCTGCATAGAACACAATATAAATTCATCATGCCTGTCACACTTACCTGTCAGTGCACGCTTTTTATTTTTTGTTGTTTTTGTTGTTAATCCAGCATTTGGCATGGCTGCCCTGCATAGAACACAATATAAATTCATCATGCCTGTCACACTTACCTGTCAGTGCACGCTTTTTATTTTTTGTTGTTTTTGTTGTTAATCCAGCATTTGGCATGGCTGCCCTGCATAGAACACAATATAAATTCATCATGCCTGTCACACTTACCTGTCAGTGCACGCTTTTTATTTTTTGTTGTTTTTGTTGTTAATCCAGCATTTGGCATGGCTGCCCTGCATAGAACACAATATAAATTCATATTATTCAACCTATGAATAACTGCGACACAAAAACAGTAGCCAGTCAAGCATCACCCAGCGCTACCGAACTCTATCAGAATGATTATGATAGGTCCGTCCGGAAGTGAGAAGACGCAATTACTGCTTAGTCTGATAATGAGATGGCTGAAGTGGGATTAGTTGTATTTACTGTTGATTGACACCAAGTTGAACAGTCATAAGACCAACCTCTTAATACTGAGCTTCTAGTGAGGCAGCTCTCAGTACCATTTGTAGAAGTCTTTGGTATGACTCGACCGGAGTTCGAACCCACGACCTCTCGCATCTGGGGCAGACGCTCTAACCATTGGGCCACTGGTGCTGTCAGACATATATGATAGCTAAAAGTTATACAGACAGTTCTCGATTTGCAGGTATATATGTATGTTAGTTGAAAGTGATATAGACTGTTTTAGATGGGCAGGTGTGTTAATTGAAAATTGCACAGACTGTATCCAGATGGGCAAACATATTGCACAGACTGTATCCTGATGGGCAAACATATTGCACAGACTGAATCCACATGGGCTAATATATTGCACAGACTGTATCCAGATGGCCAAACAAATTGCACAGACTGAATCCACATGGGCAAATATATTGCACAGACTGTATCCAGATGGCCAAAAATATTGCACAGACTGTATCCAGATGGGCAAACATATTGCACAGACTGTATCCAGATGGGTAAACATATTGCACAGACTGTATCTTGATGGGCAAACATATTGCACAGACTATATCCAGATGGGCAAACATATTGCACAGACTATCCAGATGGGCAAACATATTGCACAGACTGTATCCTGATGGGCAAACCTACCCGTTATTTGAAAGCTATATACATCATATTTTAATTCTTGGACATTGTCAGATTGTTGTTGTTCCAATGATCAATAGGTATCGGTTGAATTTGATAATAGATAATTCGTATATATCCGAGTTTGCTCGCTAGAGAAGCCAACTTTTATAGTTTGCAGCAAAACAAAACCTAAAAAAGCAACAGAAAGAAAAAAAAAAGAACGAGAAACAAAATCTGTGGCACAACTAGAACAAAACAGGTACATGTAAATCAAAACAGGGGTGTTAAACATATCAGCAGCAGGCGGAACGCATGTTTATAACCTGAAGAATGCTAATGTATATAATTTATTTGCCATCTACGCTTTAATATTTTCCATGCAACTACAGACATTTAGCATCTAACGAAATGCTTTTAAAATGCACTGGTATATATGCGTACCGGATAGCTGGTATTGTGATGTTGATGCCTCAACCGCCATTACCCGTATGGTGCATGCCGGGAAAGTAAAGTAGTTAGCAAAATGCTTTTTCTTTTTAAAAATAAAATGTCTAATTTAATTTTGACAATTATTGAGACAGATTGTGGTACGCTTATAGCACTTTATGAACCTGGACTATTGGTGTGTGTGTGTGTGTGTGTGTGTGTGTGTGTGTGTGTGTGTGTGTGTGTACTTTAAAATATATATGAATGCACTTTTTGGGTTAGCTGTTAATGTAATGTTAATGCCTTTCGTGACATTACCCGCATTTTGCATACCAAGGAATGTAAATTGGCTGGTAAAATATTTTATTTTATTTCAGACTTTGGTTTCATAATTATCCAGACAGGTTGTGGTATAGTTAGAGTACATTATGAATTTGGAATAATATTATCATTCATTGTTGAGAGAGAGAGAGAGAGAGAGAGATAGAGAGAGAGAGAGAGAGAGAGAGAGAGAGAGAGAGAGAGAGAGAGAGAGAGAGAGAGAGAGAGAGAGAGAGAGAGAGATATTTTAAATGCATGTCATATGTAATCTAACTTCATCAACTCGAAACACTGCAGACCCAATTCTTATATTTAGTGCGTGTAGTCTTCATGATCATTCAAATGCTCAACTGTTTTGAGAAGTTATCTATCCCTTCCTCCACTTATAAAACAGACAACGAGAATTTAATGTCCGATATTTAGTAAAGAAAATCCCAATGTGAGTCATTATATTTTTCTGAGACACTCGATTCCTCAATGTACTCCTTAATTTTACGCTGATTCTGCCCGGTATTTACGTTTGGTTTTTCTTTATTAATTTTTTTCCTTTTAAAATAAAAAGAAATAGGTTTTAGTTCTGTGATACACAATACGTGCATTGTAAGAATCATGAACAATTTTTAAAAGCATGCTTCCGCAATTATCCTCATTTCTTTATATGTGTCCCCCATTCCTCCCGTATATACAACCCCAAACATGCTCTCTCGTAATGACACTGCTCACGACCTAAGGTGCACACTCGCCGAATCACGTCAACACACAAGAACTAGAAAGTTTGCAGACAACTGATTCATTACCATATCAGAGATAACCACACATTTTTAATTAAAATAGCATATGTCAAAGATAAACTAACACTTTTAATTAAGACAGCATATAACAGAGATAAACACGACCTTTTCATTAGAACAGCATATACCAGAGATAAGCATGCCTATTTAATTACAATAGCATATATCAAAGATAAACACGCCCTTTTCATTGGCATCAGAGATAAAGACGCCTTTTAATTGGCATCAGAGATAAAGACGCCTTTTCATTGGCATCAGAGATAAAGACGCCTTTTCATTGGCATCAGAGATAAAGACGCCTTTTCATTGGCATCAGAGATAAAGACGCCCTTTTCATAGGCATAACAGTTAATATTATTTAATGTATTGACACTTATGCCAGGCTGATTAGTCTTCATATCATTTAGCTAACGGTGACGTGAAAATGATGTTAAACAATGAAGTTCGAACGATTTGAATGTGTGTATGATATATACCAGCTTCCATTAGGTCTATAATTTACTTGATTCCTCACACCTTGCAACCCCATACCTATCGATACGAGTTGGAATTTGACCAGCAAATGGCGGCATATTAACTGACCCATTGGCCGAGTGGAATATAAGTCTGTCACCTATCGCATAATATATATTCCAAGAAACATTTGACCGATAGGAAGGATTGGAGTTACTGGACATTAGTGATGGATCAACGTTATTTGCCATAGGCCTTACAGTCAAATCATTTAAAATTAATTTATTGCACAGTTAAAAAGAAAGTAACTTTTATCGTACGCTTCAAAATAGTGTCAGAGCAGATAAATGAAAATACAAAACAAAACAAATATAAAATGTGATCATTTACGCAAGTGAAATGGTGTAACAATCTCCGTTATTCTAATGGGTCAATTCGTACTCACTTAGCCCATACCCGTTATACTGATGGGTCAATTCGTACTTACCTAATCCATACCGATTGCACTGATGGGTCAGTTCGTACTCACTTAGTCTATACCCATTATGCTGATTGGTCAATTCGTACCCTTGATGGGTCAGTTCGTACTTACTTAGTCTATACCCATTTTACTGATGGGTCAATTCGTACTCACTTAGTCCATACCCATATTACTGATGGGTCAATTTGTACTCACTTAGTCCAAACCCATTTTATTGATGGGTCAATTCGTACTCACTTAGTCCATACCCATATTACTGATGGGTCAATTTATACTCACTTAGTCCATACCCATTTTACTGATGGGTCAATTCGTACTCACTTAGTCCATACCCAATTTACTTATGGGTCAATTCGTACTTGCTTAGTCCATACCCATTTTACTGATGGGTCAATTCGTACTCTTGATGGGTCAATTCGTATTTACTTAGTCCATACCCATTTTACTGGTGTTTCAACTCGTACTCAATCTAACAGATCCAATCGATATCTAGTAATACAAATGGACCCGTTAATGCTCATTATGACATTGATTTCATCCCCTAAACCAAACAAATGCTATGAGAAAGTTAAAAAGGGTAAGTAAAGGGTATGGGTTACTTTGTACCCTGCATTCTTTACTTTGTGCCGTGCATAAGATTCTTTTTTGTGTGAATGAATTTTTGCTTGTACTAATATATGCATAAGACCTGCAATCATTTATTTTCACATTTGTTTGTAATGTGTGTTGACATTTACGTTTGCTCTTGGAATGCAATGGAAAAAAATAGTACTTTTGACTTAGATAAAGTCACTCCAAATCAATATTTATTAGCTAGGACCGAAAACTGTTCCTGCTTAAGTCTATCACCCATCCAGTATTAAGCTGGAAGTCATATTGAAATGGAGTTGTATCGGCAGTCACGGATTATTGGAATAGGCATGCATGCAGACATCAAATACTTACACTTACCTATATACGCCCGTTTAAATTAGAAGTATTTTAATGTCCAATTATATCATCTTTCCCCATTATGTGCCTCGCAACTAAAAAAGCAACTCGCCGCTTGCAGCTTCTTATCTCACTAATGGATGTAAGTACTGGTCTCTTGGATTCCTCAAAATGGCGGGTTTAGATGAATCTTCGCTGTGTGGAAAAGTTGCTAAAATCCTAGCAGGCATTGCCTTCTTGTTCCATCTAATTGGTTTTGCTTCCCCGTACTGGCGCAAGGCAGTATATGATGGGTACACCGATAACAGTGGGTTGTGGAAGACCTGCCGGTCGGGGGGAGCGTACTTAGCAGGGGCAGTTGGATGTGCGAATCACACCCACACTACAGGTGAGTCACAACTCTCCCTCCTCCACCTTCATCCCACCTTTCAGTCCTGGGGTGCCAAATCTGAACCCACTGCCGGGGAACATGCGTCATCGCATGCTGTACTTTATCGTTTTATTTCAAAATACAGTCGACTTATCTAATTGCTAATTGTTACTATTTGTTATTTGACAATATGTACAGTGCGTACTGAAAAAACGCTAACAGGGATACACATTGAAGTCCATAGTGCTGCATAATCTAGTCCACAATGACAACGTAGTCCACAATGACAATCTAGTCCACAATGACAATCTAGACCACAATGACACGTCGTCCACAATGACAATCTAGTCCACAATGACAACGTAGTCCACAATGACAATCTAGACCACAATGACACGTCGTCCACAATGACAATCTAGACCACAATGACAATCTAGTCCACAATGACAACGTAGTCCACAATGACAATCTAGACCACAATGACACGTCGTCCACAATGACAATCTAGACCACAATGACAATCTAGACCACAATGACACATAGTCCACAATGACAATCTAGTCCACAATGACAATCTAGTCCATAATGACAATCTAGACAACAATGACAATCTAGTCCACAATGACACATAGTCCACAATGACAATCTAGTCCACAATGACAACGTAGTCCACAATGACAACACTGTACAACGTAGTTCAGGACTATTAAAGTAAAAATAGGAGCAGTAAAGAAAAACATTT